CCACCAATGGCCCGAAGCAATGGACCACGCTGTCATGCTGCACAACTTGCTCTCGTCATCATCGCTCCCGAACAATGCATCACCGCACCTGCTGTGGACAGGAAAACAGGGCAACACCAAAATGTTAAGAGTTTTCGGCTGCATGGTACAGTACCGACCCCCATCTGCATGAGCCGGCCGATTTTCCCAACGCGCACAGTGGGGACTACACCTGGGCATCGAAAGAAATTACAACGCGTAGAAGATTTTCGACGTCCACTCCAAGGAAACAGTAGCAGCACGTGATGTCATTTTCTACTAACGACTCACCCTTCCGACGTACCTTGCCAACCTAGAAGAAGATCGGGACCCCACAGGTGGTTTCCGTGGTGACCGAGCCTTCGCCTCGGCAGCAGACGAAGCTGACTGGGATGAGCAGAACGTGGATGCAGCCTTGGAGGAAGCTGGACCTCTCCCTTACTGCTCCGTCGATGTCCCAATGGATGACGAAAATCCTCGAGACAGCACCAACGCCGAAGTATTTTACCACTTCGCCGACAACGGTTACGTTACACCTGGAAGAGTCAACACCAATGAAGCAGAACGCATAGGGCCCAACTTCATACCTGAACCAGAAGAAGGTGACGAAGCAGCTTATCCCGAGGATACAACACTACCCTGCTACACACAGAGTGGTCTCCAGATACTCGGCCTCGTCACCGCGGTCCACGGCGTTGCGCTTCCTAAGGAGCCTGCCACGGTTCAACAGGCTCTGGGGGGGGGAGCATAGGGAAAAATGGCGCGAAGCCATGGACAAGGAGTTGAAAGCACTGGAGGAACGCAACACTTGGAAGGTTGCTCCCATCAGCGTGGCACAAAACAAAACAATACTTACCGGGAAATGGGTTTCCCGTGTGAAGACAAAGGCAGATGGCACCATCGACAAGTTCAAAGCGCGCTGGGTCGTACGCGTCTTCGACCAAGAACACGAACGCGACTTCACTGAAACGTTCGCACCGGTCATCCGACACACCTCGCTGCGAATTCTCCTCGCGATCGCCGCCACGAAGAAGAAGAAACTGCGGCAAATTGATGTCGCCAACGCATTTCTCTACGCACCTGTCGACGCAAAAATCTTCGTCGAACTACCACATGGCTCCAACGGAGAGCCTAACCAAGTTTGTCAGCGGCTAAAGTTGCTCTACGGCATCAAACAAGCTCCGAGGTTGTGGCAACAGTATCTGCACGCAAGACTTATCCGCATAGGATTCCGACAGCTACCTCACGACCAGGGCATGTACCGGCTTACAAAAGGCACCGAATACATCCTACTAATCGTCTATGTAGACAATCTGCTCTACATCGGGTCGACCGACGACGTCACTACCTGGTTCGAAGGGGAGCTACAACAGGATCTCACACTCACGGTCTCGTCTACCGTCACGCAGTACCTCGGCCTTAACATTCAAGAGGAAGAAGACGCGATCTATCTCAACGCCGCGAAATATGCCAACACTATCGCCAAACGCTTCGGACTCACCCCGATCACCATCTCCACACCATACTGCTACACCGCAGGAAATAACAAGGAGAGCTCCACTCTGCTCAAGCCTGCAGGCATACGCAACTACCAGAGAAAGCTGGGCTGCCTCCTATTCGCAGCAGTCACCTGCCGTCCGGACCTATCGTACTCCGCAAGTCAGCTCGTGACCTACCTCAAGAAACCTGAAGCAGAACACATGGCAGAACTCGAACGCGCTCTCCACTACCTCGTCAGCACCTCAACCGTCGGTCTAACCTACCACAAGAACGGGACTACGACACCTAAACTAATCGGCTACGTCGACGCCGATCACGCCGGCGACTCCGACAACAGACGCTCACGCACCGGCTACATCTATCGCCTCGAGCCTATCGGACCTATCTCCTGGCAGTTGAGCAAGCAGGAGTTAATCGCTCTCTCCTCAGCTGAAGCTGAATATATCGCACTCTGCTCAGCCACCAAGGAAGGACTGTACCTTCGCAAACTTCTGGAGGAGGCAAAGCTGGCTCAGTTACCCAGCTTCTCCTTGTTCTGCGACAAACAGTCGGCGATTCGCATAGCCAACAAAAACGGATTCGCGAACAGGACGAAGCATATCGCCCTGCGATATTTCTTCGTAAAGGACGAGATCGAGAACGGGAGACTTGAGCTGTCTTACTGTCCCACGTCCGAGATGGCAGCTGATTACTTGATTAAGAAGCTCGGAAAGCAGAAGTTCGAGTACTGCATGCTGCTGACTGGACAGAGCCACGTCACCAGTAGCGACACTCCAGAAGCGAAGGGGAGTGTTGGAAACAATTGACTTAAGCGCCTCTGTCATGTCGAAACACCAAGTCATAAGCGAAGCAGAACATATCGAAGCATCGGCGAGTCAACCCTCGGAGGTTGAGCAACTGCTGGAGGTTACGCGAAAATCAAAGGTCAGCGACCTTTGACCTGACAAATACAGCGCGGCAGCAAGGACAAACAACTGACTCGCTATTGAGCAGTTGCCCGAGTCGTCACTGTATCGAACCACAACAGCAACAGCAAAACAGTTATTAGGGTACGTTCTTAGCCCATGTCAAGTTTCCTGACACAAGGCTATCGATGGCTCCGATCGTTTCACGTCATCATCAATCAAATCCAAACCCTTAACAGCTTCGTGTCAACCTGCCTGACATGGGCTAAGAACGTACCCTTAGTTATAACCCTTCATGTACCCTTTTACCCTTATAATAGCTTGTATCCCTTTGTTTTAATCAATCTAATTTGCCCTCACATACCAGCGCAAGGTGGTTCACAAACTCCTCATTAAACGCTTCCGCTATTACATTATTCCTACTCAGAGTTTAGTCCTGCAAAGATCCTAAGGGCTTTTCTCAGCCCAACAGAGGCGACCCACCAAGCGCAAGGCAGCAAAAGTGGATTGCAAGGAGAAGTGGCGCGGTGTTCTGGGGGGCACTTGCAGAGAAGCGCGACCACGCTGCTGCTGCTGCTGCTGATGATGCTGCTGCTCATGCTGTCAGTGGGGGGGACAGTGATGCAAGTGCAGATGATGTGGAGGAGGAGGAGGAAGACGATGGGTATTGAAAGGTTTCAAATTTTATAATGAATGTGATTTGACAATTTTGGTGTGTGTGTTGTGTTGTGTTGTCATCATTGTCATAGGTAAAACATGCCAGCTAGAAAAAAATATTGTCCACAGGATAAGTTGAAATGTAGCCCTAATATGCCAGGATAGTGTCACAAGTAGCACTAACAGTTCAGCATACTTAACCCCTGACAATTCAGGACAAAATGAGGCTTTCTACTAAACTGCCCTGAGGCCTCAGGGTACCCTCAAACAAATCTGAGGCCCTGCTAGCAGGTTGCGGGTAACCAACATGGAGTCTTTATTACCGCAAACCAGCTACATGAAGGTAATTGGCCGTATCCAACCCTTTTGTGCGATGGTAAAAGCTGTCTACACTGCTCCCTCCTGCTACGGGAAAAACGGTCAGGACTGCAACCTATTATTCCTACTTCTCCCTCTCCCTCCCCTCTTGCTGTCCACCCAAGCAGAGAGGGTAAGGCAGCAGCGAGCAGAGGGGGGTGGGGAGGTAACGACAGAAAAGGAGGGAGAGGTGTCAATGGGAGTTGTTGTTGGCCCCGTCCTCGCTTGGGCGAAGCCGACTTAGTGGTTGGGTGTACGGGAGGTACATCCGACTTGTTGCAGTGGGCGACGCCGACTTGGGCGAGCTGGTCGACGGGGTTGGTCAACTTGCACGAGGCCACTGCAATGCCGCCGACTTGGTGGTCGGCGATGTGGCACGTCGACCCGGAAGTCGGCGCCGACTTGGTGACGCCGACTTCGGGTAGCCGACCTGGGTGGTCGGCTGACTACTGCGCTGGTTGATGTGGAGCTGGTCGACCAGGAGTGACATCGACCTGGAGCTGGTCGACCAGAGGTATGGTCGACTTGGTGAGGTCGACTTGGGGTGGTCATCGACTTGGGAGGTCGACGAGCACATACAGGAGCAGCTGGTTGACATGGTTGCCCGGTCGACCGGGATACCTGGGTGACGAGGTTCTGCGAAGGAGTGCGACGGTCGCCTAGGCGAAGCTGGCGAGTACGACCTTGGTGGTGGTATCCCGAGGTCGACGTGGCGGATTAGGTGGAGCTGTCAGCACAAGGATGACTTGGTGCGTGCGCTGTTCAGGTGACGAGGCTTAGCCCGCCAATCATCTACGAGCACCGACGAAGTAGGTGCGCTGCTGTTCTGCGGGAGCAATGCTGGCACGCCGTCAACCTGCAGTGTTGGCACGCCGACGACTTTGCACTGCTGGAACGCGGTCGACCATGCTGTGCTGGCAGTCGACTGACCTGAATGCTAGCTCTGATGTAGTCTTGCCATGCCAACTGATTTGGATCATTGATGTCATGTTTTCATAGTGAAACTCTTGCCAATTCTCCCCGTGAACTAGCAAGCAGCGTGAACATAAGGAAACGATTAAGTGAACGAACGCAGAGATCACACGAGCACCCGTGCCTAGCCCGTAGTCTAGCGCCCGTTGTAGTAGTTATCTCCGCAAGAGGTAGGGCGGGGAAATGGCAAGAAATGCTGCAAAGAGGGTGACGAAGAGGAGGAGGGAGATGGGTAGGCCAATAAAGGGGTAGAGTGCTGGGGCACGGTGCTTGAGGGGCAGGTGCATTGTGAGCATCCCACTCTCTAGCGCTTCCCTGCGGTGGGTGAGTGGGGCCAACACCAGAACCAATGGAATGGGGAATGAAGGGGCAGATGGTTGCATGTGTGCGGAATTGAATGAAATGGTGGATGAAATGGTGGGCAAACGGGTAAACAGGTGGAAACACAGCCACCGCAGCAGGAGCACACACCATGCAGCAAGGGTGCAGTAGTGCGGGGAGACAACACCCAACACACCGAGGAGAAAATTCAAGTACACTGGCACATATGGAGCAGACATGTTGCAACAGCACAGGTCATGATTCAATCATTCATGTCCACAGTACCAGCAACACGCACCGTGCAGCAAGGGTGCGGTAGTACGGGGAGACGCCGCCCGAGACCCCAATGGAGGAGCAGCGCAGCAGTGTGAGCCCGTTCTCTGCTGCCCTCACTGCATCCGTCTCGAATGTCATGTGGCCTATGGCGCCCCACGTCCAGCTGGGCTGCAGTAGAATGTCCACTCTGAGGATGGCGAGGGTGGAGGGGAAATGGGGGAGACGGATCAGCAAAGGAAGGACTGTTTGCCATGGCTGTGGCACAGCTACGGTGCCCCACGTCCAGCTGGGCTGCAGCAGAATGTCCACTCTGAGGGTGGCGGTGGGTGATTATGGTTACCGTAGGGATGGGAGAAAAGTGAGAATGGGTTAGCACTAGAGTGCTTGCATTGCTCGTTGGATCTCCTTTAAACCTCTTGAAAGTGTCTTCAACATCACAGGGAGGGGGAAAGGGAGGTTCAGACCCGACTCACCACTCACAGATGCACCACCCTCATCAGCAAGAAGGCCAGGCTTTGAAAACTCACACATGCACTCACTGTTGTCTGCCCCCCTGGCAGATCAGCGCAGGGAACTGCATGTCAAACCAGACGGCCACAGACAGCCTCCCCAGAGGTATGTCCACCACAGGGAGAGTCCCGGGACCGGGTTGCACGTTGGCCTCCACAGAGGGAAAGAGGTGCGACTTGTTGTAGCGCAGGATGGGGGCACCACTGGGGTCAATGAGGGCGAACGTGTTGACGACGAAGTTTGGGGCAATGAGCTGAGATGAGGAAAGGGATGGAGGTGAGGGGGATAGGCAGGGGTGGGAAGGGGCAAGGTCAGCGCCGTAAGCAAGGAGGTTGGGCTCTTCATGGGCGTGCTACAAGTAGCAGAGCCATGGACGAGAACTTTGAGTCCAAGTCTGAGTCAGTCTGGGTTTGGGTCTAAGTCCGAGTCTGAGCATCTGGGTCTGACCACAGCAGAAGGGCACTGCATGCACCAATGCCTCTCCCTAAAGCTCTCAACCTATGAAGCACACATGCACACATGCTGTTCCAGAAATCAAAACCAGCACCTTTACGTATGAAGCACCCAGGTATGGCCCAAGGGTTGATGGAGTTGCATCGTCCACAGCAGCAGTGGCAGCGGCGGCAACAGTTGAAGCAGCAGCAGCGACAGTGTGGTTGATGCTGGCAGAGAGGTCAGCCAGGAGCTTGGCCTCCTCATGGTCGTCCATGATAATGACTGCCGCCTCTGACCACAGGATCAACACGTCGCCTGCACTCACTCTCTGCTGCGTCTGCTGCACCATCCGTGCTACGCCTGCTACCCGCCATGCCTCCCACTTCTCCGACGCTATTATCACTGCTGGTGTCGCTACTGATGCTGCTGTTATTAATTGTGCTACTTCCCCAGCAGCTGCTTTGGATTTTCCCATTTCTCCTTTCCCTTCGCCCGCTTCAGTAGCTTCCCCTTCTGCAACTCCTTGTCAACACTCTCCCTGCCCCCCCCCCCCCCGTTCCTCACTTCTCCCTCATCTGCCCCCAGCAGCATGGAGATCGTGGGTAAATGCGTGGAGGCGTTAGCAGCAGTAAGCTGGCAGATCGAGGGCGGAGGTTGGGGGGGGATGTTGTTGGCGGGGCGCTTGTGCGAGGATACAGGAGACAGGCACCGAAGGAACTATGGTTTCTTCTAGCGGCTTTTGGAAGAATCTGAGAGGAAGAGGGAGAGGGAGAGGGAAGGGAGAGGGAGAGGAAGAGGGAAGGGAGAGGGAGAGGGAGAGGGAGAGGGAGAGGGAAGGGAGAGGGAGAGGGAGAGGGAGAGGGAGAGGGAGAGACAGATGGATCACGACTCTTGAAGATGGATGAATCTGAAGGAAATACGATGGGTGGATGGTTCAACAGAAGCGAAGTGAAGGAAAGGGAAAAGGAAGGGGAGAAGGAAGGGGGAAGGGGGGGGGGGGGGATGACGGGAGTTGAGTAAAGGGCAGTAAAGCATGAGCAGTTCGTTGTACAGGCGCAGTGCAGTGCAGCAATAGTGCCTGGATGAGAACACAATCTCTCTCGCTGACCCGGCCGCCATCAGCACCACCAGCAGTGCCACACTCATCTGCACGTGGCCCCATCCGCTGCTGCCTCCCCCAAGCCTGTTACTTCCCCCAACAGCACCTCTTCCCCTTTCCCCACCAGCTCCTCCTCTTCCTCCTGCTCCATTCCTCATTGCACTAACACTATTACAGCCCTCACCACACACTTTACTGCCACCCCCCTCCTCACCCCCTCGCTAGGGCACCTCACATGCCCTTCCCCTCTCCCGCCCCGCTCCTCCCCAACCACCCCCCCACTCCCACCCCGATTCTCACCCCACTCCCCTCGCCTCCACCCCTCCTCGCCCCTCCCCACCACATCCCCCTTGCACATCATCTGGTGAACACCCCCCACCAGCCAGGCCACCAGCAGTAGGACACCGTCCATGCCGACATATACCGTGGCTTGCACGAGCGGCAGCAGGGTGCACATCGATTAGAACGGGTGGGCTAAGGCGCCAAAGGGGGAGAGTAGCGAGAGGAAGCTCCAGATGGAGGCACAGACAAGGAGGAAGACGAGCGGATGCAGGTGTGGTGAGGGGGAGGGGAGCGGGAGGAAGGGGGGTTGGGCAAAGGAGGGTGGAAGTGACTTGCGAGTCGACTCAATATGTGGCGGAGCGAGTAGAAGAGACGCGCGGTGGCAGAGGGTCCAGAGGAAGGTAAGAGGGAAGACGGGCGCGTGAAGACGCAGTGAGATCCCGTCACGGGAAGGTTGGGAGCAGGTGGGAGGAGGGGGAGGGAGAGGGGAGGAGCAGAGCGGAGGGGGAGGGGGATGGGGAGGGGGAGGGAGAGAAAAGGAGTCAGCGTGGTATGGCACACCACCATACCACCAGAAGCCATCACGCTGCCACAACTAGCGGCACGTTCGTGCATGGTAATTCCTCCCCTCACCGCTGAGGAAGATCTTCCGGCGGAAGTGAGTTTGGCCCAGCATCGCGAAAAAGTATGGACACCAGAAATGTGCACAGATGCTTTTCTTGCGAGAAAGATTCGGAAAAAAAAAATATAGTCGAGCTAGCGAGCGTGAGATGAGACGAGGTTTGAGGATCCTCATATTACTAGTGATGATCACGCTCTGCACAACAACTTGTTGTGAAGCGGAAGAGCGAGTCCGCAAGGCATGGCAGCACGTTGGCCACCGCGATCTGGCTGGAGGCGAGGATGTTGGCCGTCTGGTCCATGGCGTACATGCTCGCGTATGCCACTATCGTGCCGCATGCCTGTGAGGGATGATGATGATGATAGTGAGCGAGAGCACAGGGGATCGTGTATCGTAGCTTGTGAGGCGTCACACGTTATAACACTACCCGCTGGGTCAAAATGAGGGTGTTATTATTTGGCGCAGCATAATGCCCAGTAACACTTAGCCCGCAGGTCTAACACTCGTCCCCCCCTGGTGCCAACGTCCTCGTTGGTGAACTTCAGGGAGTCAGCCCTCGCAGGGACCTATTCGCTGTGCTCCAAGTAGCGACTTCGTTGGTGAGGTCAGGCCAGCGGATGGCCGTTCGCTAAGTTCGCGACTAGGTTACCACATTCCAGCGTCTCAAAAAATTTGGGCCACCGATGTGACCTTGAGCTAACCCTAAACTTGCCGCGAGGTAACCTCCTAGTAGGTTACCCCGAGGTGCTACTCGGGCAGGCCTGTCGATTGACGGGCATATGCCCTTAATGCCCTGAAATTCCGAGCTACTTTCGCTCCAGCTCGACTGCATAAAGTGTTAGGATCGCCCTGTACCCGTGCCACTAAGTGCTTCGTTCGACCCTTACCCGGATGCGTTAAGTGCTCCAACCAGGCCTTCCCCACCCACAAAGTTTTAATTTCCGGTTCTAGGATACCACCCCCCCAATGAAATTCTGTGAAAATCAACGAGAATGAATGCAGTATGAAAGAGTTGGGTACAAATACTAACCCTAACTGGGTTGTACCCCATATAGGCTACCCCACTATAGCCTACACAAAAGCATAAGCTATAATGTTCTGACACACCCCCATCGGCAAAGTGGGGGAGTACAAGGGGTCACAAGACCAGTCAAGCAAAGCAAAGCAAAGCAAGCTCAGGGTGGATCACAAAGTCACCACACATTCCGAGCACAAGGTCAAGGCCACAAGGCTAGTTCACATGCAGGAGTACATATATATATATAAAAGGCTAGACAAGCAAGAGCAAGTGTATATATATATATGTAACAGTACAAGCAAGGTCAAGAGGTGAGCAAGTGAGGCAAGGCAGGCACAAGACCCAGCTGAGTACAGAAGCGCTGATGATCACAAGGCGCAAGCGCCTTGGTGAAGATATCAGGAATGTTGGCCTCAGAGGCCACGTACGCAAGACGCAGCTGACCACGCTGCTGCAGCTCACGAGCATGGAAGTAGCGGAGAGCAATGTGCTTCGTTCTGTGCTCCAGTCTCTGCTCTCGACACAAGGCCAGCATGGCCTTGTTGTCTACGTACAGCACTGGAGGAGAACGAGGCGGCTCTCCGAGGTCAGTCAGCAGGTAGGTGAGCCAGCGAAGCTCCTGTGCAGCCATGGCCCCGGCGTAGATCTCAGCCTCACAACTGGAGCCGAGAACAGAAGACGAGCGGGTAGCCCGCCACGAAATAGAGCCAGAACCAAGGCTGAAGGTGTAACCCTGTGACGACCACTGCGTAGCCTGGTCGTCAGCCCAAGAAGCGTCTGCGTGCCCAGTGAGGACCACTGGACTCTGCCCTCCAAGCACAAGCCCCATGCCTGACGTACTGCACAAGTAGCGCAACACCCTCTTCGCTGCAGCCATGTGCTCCGGTCTATGTCTCCCAGGAGCAACATAGCGTGCGAGAATGCTAAGAGGGTATGCAAGGTCAGGTCGAGTGCAGGTCATCAGGTACATGAGGCAGCCAACAAGCTCTGGGTACGGGCCACTCGACTCTACGGACTCATCCAAAGGCAGAGCTAAGAGCGAGTGGCGAGTAGGCAGAGGAGTGGCCTGAGGCAAGGAGTACGTGAAGCCGAAGCGCTGAAGGACCTGCTGCACCATGTGTGACTGAGTCAGGGTAATGGTGCAGCGTGCTCTGTCCCGGGTGATCTGCAAGCCAAGGTAGCTGCGCAGTTCACCCAGGTCTGTGCACGTGTGTCTCTTCTGCAGCTCGGACTTCACGTGGGCGAGTCCAGCAGTGTCAGCTGTGGCAAAGACCAAGTCGTCGACGTACACGAGGATGTATAACGGCGGCAAAGAAGTGTCGGTGCGCAGAAACAGCGACGGGTCGGCAGTAGAGGGAGCAAACCCAAGAGCCGCAAGTGTAGTCCTCAGTGTGTCGTGCCACTCACGCGGTGCCTGGCGGAGACCGTAGACTGGCCGCCGGCGGCTCCACTGGGTGCCAGGAGGAAAAGACCCAGTGAAGCCAGGTGGGCGGCGCAGCCAGATCTCCTCGTGCAGGCTGCCCTGCAGGAAAGCTGTGCTGAAGTCAAGAGAGTGAAGCTCGTAGTCACGGTGAGCAGCTATGTGCAGCAGTACCCGAAGAGTGGTCATCTTCGGGGTGGGAGAGAAGGTATGAAAGTAGTCAACTCCCTGCCGCTGACTGAAGCCACGAGCCACGTAACGCGCCTTGAAGACAGGCGGAGAACCCGGCGGCCGCTTCACCCTGAAAATCCACATGCCACTGACGATGTTCGCCCCAGGCTGGGGAACCTCGTCAACGTAGGTGCCTGTGGACTTCCAGGAAGCCATCTCTGCGTCCATAGCTGCCTGCCTCTGAGAGGAGTAGGGACCCTCTATCGCCTCCGCGTAAGAGCGCGGAGTCGGGATGTCAAGTGCATCCGGGTCTCCCTCATGGGTAAGGAGTACGGACACGAGATGAGGTGAAGCAGCTGCCAGACACTGGAACTCCTCCTGTCTGTCCTCAAGGACGTCCGTGCCAAGGGCACACTCACCCCGGACGGACGGAGGACAGACAGACTCAGACTTAGCAAAAGACTGGCGGCGTAGTCGAGGCGACAGCGAGCAGCAAAGTCGACGAGCTCAGCAACTAGAGCAGACGCAGCAGTGGACTTAAAGGAAGGGTCAATGACAATAGTAGCAAGGAGACGCGTGATAGTAGGACTGGCAGCACGAAGAGAGTCCGACTCCGGGTCGGCAAGAGCACGAAGAGAAGACTCAGGAGGAGAAGGTATCCAGTGCGTGCCAGGGACAGGAGGAGGACGCTGACGTGAACCGCGACCACTAGTGCGAGCAGCACGGACAAGCGACGCAGGACGAGACGCAGGCTCACGACGCTCAGCAAGACCTCCAGTAGGACCAGTGTAGGGAGACGGAGCAGGCAGTGGGGAGGCCGGCTGTAACTGTAACTGTGACGGGACAGGCTGTGGACACTCGAAGAGAGGAGGAGGACCAGTAGAAGGCGGGAGACCAAGAACCTGCTGAAGAAGCGGAACGAAGTATGGCCGAGGCCGCGCGGCGACTCTAGACACAGCAGGGACAGCACCAGTACCCCCAGCAGCAGCACCAGCACCAGCAGCACCTCTAGCTCCAGTACCTCCAGCAGCACCAGTAGCACCCCCAGCAGGACCGCCTCCAGGACGGACAGCAGTAGCCACCGCGTCAACAACCGCAGCAGCTCCAACTCCAGAAGTACCCTCAGGCCCAGCAGCTCCAGTACTCCCAGTACGAGCACCTCCGGGACCCGCGGCACCAGCACCCTCAGCAGCAGCAGAACCTCCAGTACCCGCAGCACCTCCAGCTCCAGCAGCTCGCCTCCAGCGCCGGGCAAAGCACTCATGCAGCTCGTGTGGAGAGAGTGGCTCCCGGCGAGACAAAGCACCCGGAGAACCGCTAGGCACAGCACCGTAAGACGCCACACGAGTAGGCCCAGCTCCCTCAGGCTCAGCACCTCCAGGCGTAGCACCCCCAGGCATAGCAACCCCGTGCTCAGCACCCCCAGGCTCAGCACTCCCAGGCTCAGCACCCCCAGGCTCAGCACCCCCAGGCTCAGCACCCCCTGGCTCAGCACCCCCAGGCTCAGCACTCCTAGGCTCAGCACCCCCAGGCTCAGCACCACTAGGCTCAGCACCCCCAGGCGTAGCACCCACACGCTCAGCACCCCCAGAGTCAGCACCCCCAGGCTCAGCACCCTCAGTAGCACCAGAGTCACTAGCGACCTTGACACGCTCAACAGCGTCTACCTGGGACACACCTGAAGGGGCAGGACCCTCAGGGGGGAGGGGGTCTACCGGGGGGGGACCTGGCACAAGGAAGAGCGGTGGCGGGGGGAGGGACGGAGTGCGGTAGGGGAAGAGACGGTAGTAGGGGACCGACTCGTCGAACGTGACGTCATGGGAGGACAGAACACGGCGAGAGGTGGGGTGGTAGAACTGCCACCCTGGCGCGTCAGGGGGGAAACCCAGGAAGACGCAG